CATTAAAATTTCTACAAGACAGTTTCTCCAGTTACAAGCGGTAAAAATCTTTAATTTGCCAATTACAAAAGCAAATAATTTGTGCCAGCCTTCGGCATTGTAAAGATTAGTAATTTAGATTGATACAAACTGATTGCGTCGAAACTCCACAGGGAGCAGCCTAAGGCAGAGACGTAAAAACTGATTTCTTCTTTTAATTCCAGTCGTACAGTTGTTCAGCATCGATATCGCATTATAGTGCGGTGAGCTGGCAAGACCGAATGCAGAACTACCGGCTTCCGCTTATTGATTTCGATGTGGAACGCGCCTTGTGTAGCGACGAATGTGGGCCACGAAGGAGGGTGGTGGCGCATCGCGCACGTTTATGCTCTGGTGCATCGTGCATACACGTGCCACCTTCCTGCGAAGTGTTAGGGTGTATATCGCCGTTATTTTCCGTATTTCTGGGCATTTGCGTTAAATAGGTACCATGTTGTTCAGCGATAAGACAAATTCCGATTAGACAACTTTCCAGAGTGCAATTACGTGTTCACTTGTCGCGTACTGTTGTAAAATGTACGAGAAATAGTAGTATTGTGGATACATGAAGCTTCCTTACAAGTTTCTTTTTTTTTTTTGGTATCATATAATAATCGTTATGGTGATAATTTTTTTCATTGTTATAATTATTTTTTGATAGTGTTACATTTTTGTTTGGTGTATTAAGGTGTAATAAGTAATTAATGCCCTTCGGATAAAAATCTCTCTCTCATTTAAATGGCGCTGGGATTAAAATTGTATTTTTTCGTTTTTAATTATTATAGATTTTTTTTATCTCTGTTACTGTTCATTCTCGATAAACTTCAATCCACATTCGGTTTTTTAGATCTCTAATTGTGAAACATTATACTCTATGCTCTGATTCAGTTTTTATTATTCGGCAAGAGAGTAACTTTGTTAATAAAGATTATACATCGTTTCTAAAAAAAAAATTTTTTTATGCATTATAATATGAGTTTCTATCTCGTGATTCTGTCAGTATTCATTTTTTCCAACGTGTAATCTTCGTAGCTTGAGACGTCATAGCAAAAATATGAAGTGTTATATGTGTATGATGACCGTCACTTATCATGTGACTGAAACCTTTTCGGCGTTATACGCTATCTGAATCGGATAATCTCGTGATCCTATGAAATATAATACTTTCTTTCGCTTTATGTATTTTTCTTCCTCCATCTCATGATGCTTTATTTATCATTATTAAATTGTTAGTAAAAAAATTTTTCGCTAAAAGAATCAAGTCGATTATTTGCAAATGTATTTTATGATATTAAGCAACAATAATTTTTAAACTATAAAATTGTATAAAATCGTTGCAATTACAATATTACATTAAAAATTATTTATTTTTCTTGGAATGGTTTATTCTTAATGTTAATAAATTTCTTTTTACTTTCTGTAAAATTTTTTTCTTTGCAACGTTTTTTTTAAGTAACTTATATTTATTTAATACACTGAAAGAAAATTTTTCTGTATCTGAAGTATCTACAAATTTAAGTAGATATAAATGAAAAAATAATTTTGTTAGATCTTCAAAATAATTAATGTAAGACACTCAAGCTGGATACTAGAATTTCAAAACTTCTTGTAGTATTACTCATTACTTCCTATATAATTATTTTGATGTAGTATAACAAAATTATTTTCAAGTATATGTGTGTGTGTGTGTGTGTGTGTGTGTGTGTGTGTGTGTGTGTGTGCGCGCGCGCGTGTGTGTGTGTGTGTGGGTGGGTGGGTGCGTGCGTGCGTGCTTGCGTGCGTGCGTGCGTGCGTGCGTGCGTGTGTATGTGTATGTATATAGTTAAATTTTTTAATATTTTAGCAAAATCACTTTTTGTATGTATTCCGTGTATTCCATAAATTTTAGCAAAGAAAAACAATTAAATTTTAAAAATTATTTTTACGATGAAAAATTAAATTCTTGTTATCCAATTTGTGGTGGAACACTTAGAGGTAGAAAAATAGATTTTTATGACTTCAGAGTAAAAACACCGAATAAAAAATTTTTTACAGTTTTTTATGTTAAAAACCGTAAAAAAGCTATTTTTTAATTAAAATTCTGAGAAATAAAATTTATTTGTCTTGATATCGTTAAAACGTTTAATATTTATCTTATTTTTTAGTGTTATTTTATATATAACTTTATGAATATCGAAGCAGAAACGTCTTTGCGTTGTGATATCTGACAAATTTATAACGCCTTTTCGAAAGTAGATCTAAAAGTCTATCTATGGCTACTGCCACAGTCATTGTACTATATTTTTATTTGTTTACAACTATTTTTACATAGAAGTCTTTTCAAAAAATGCAAAAACTGAATTCTACAACAATAACATGAGATCAAATGTCAAAAGAAAACACATATCTATAGTGAAAAACCAGCCTTTCAGGGCTGGTGTAAAAGATTTGTTTTTACTAATTTTTTTTTTAAATTGATAATTTTTTCGGTAATTTCTGTTTCTACTGACACATTATTTATACAAAAATTTATTAAAGATTCTTGAAGGCTGGCTTTAATGTAAGTATTTTAATAAATTTTGTGAGGTGCTTCCACTCTCCAAACTGAAATCTATTCATGAAAGAGTTTATTGTTGTGATAACATACATACATTTAAATTGATGATAACATATTTCTATTAAATTGTATCACATACATTTATTTATCTGATGAATCTCATATCGAAAGATTTAATGGATATACATATATTCGTTCCCGACAATCGCGAAATGATTATGTTTACATATCAGGAATGATTTTATTTTATTTTATTGAGGTATCTAAAAATTTGACTGTAATAGATTTGAAAATAATTTGGACCATCAAAATATTAATGAAAGAATCTGAAGTATAATGAACAATGCTGCAAAAAATTTTGACGTTTTAGCAATTTGAGCATCCTACATAGTTATTTTAATAAGAAAATCATTTTCAGATTTTGTATTTAGAATTTTAGATACTTTAACAAAATCGTTCTTCCGTATAGAGGTAACTTTAACTACTTTTTCGGGTATTTAAATAGGCCATATTAGGCGGGTACTGATCCACGTACCGCATTGCGCCTGGAAATGTGCCAATCTATGGTCGTTGTGCTTTATGTAAGGCAAACGTTTTCGGTCTCCTAGGAAGCCGGTTGGAAGTTAGTACAGAACTCTGCGTTTTTTCAAAATCAATTCTTTTTTTTACGCGAACTTTTGTTATGTTAAGAATGACTAATATTTCTTCTTGAAATAACACTTTTATAACACGTTAATTGAGATAAATATTTACTTAAATGATTGCTTAAAAATAGAATCCAACACGCAATTACCAGCAGAATTAAAATTGAGATTATACATAGTAGTGTTTTTTTGTGTATAATGTTGAAAATTGACGAGTTCGGTTATACTTGAATATGAAACTTTAAATGATTCTGGAAAATGCTATTCAAGTTATTGAATAAAACATGCTGATGTTAAATAATTCACGATAGTTCGGCTTTCGAGTTCCATAAATTGTACTTGCATTATTTGAAACAACGTGATGCAGATTTTTAAAATATTAAAGATCCTTGAAATATCGCTGATAACATTTCTGTAAAAAATAACTCACCTCCAGCGAATTCCCGTGCTGCAGAGTGTTAGTGCCATCCTGGCCTGACAATGCCAGGACAATAAGTGCCAGGACACCAGCGGCAAAAATAGCACGACGAATTCCTGCCAAGACGCGACGACGTGGGGTCATCTTCTCCCGGAGAACGTGTTTCCGTCTATACTCATATCGGACTGAAATACATTCATAACACCATTATATACGATGTTTCTTATGCAATGAATAGTGTAATTAATGCTGATCCACGAGTTAATTGCTGATCCCCCATTACGTTAATTGCATTGTCCGTTGCTCGCTCGCGACATTGATACTTCGAATCTCGTTAACTAGGACATTCGAGATTAGGTGATAAACGAACCATGAGCACGAACATAAATGCAACAAGATATTGCAGCTATTATGCTTCGATCAGAAATTATTTAGTAGTCCGTGATTTATAGCTCTTATGTCTGATGACGACACTCGTACCATTGTTTGTATTAGCACGGCAAAAAATACCGTTTAAATTCGGTAATGTAAATAATCTTTATTTCACAGCGAGATAGAGACAACAGAATTAATGGCTCGGTTTGTTTCGTGATATTGTGTAATGTGTATATATGCTTTTTGCTTTGACAAGGAAGCTTAGCAAGATGATTACAAATATACTATTACATCTTCGTGCGACGCGTTCTGACATTCGACATGATCATTTAGTTCAATCAATTATAAACTTCTTTTATAATTCTATAAGCAATTCTCATTGTATTGACATACATTTTATTTATTCTAATTTTCCACATGGAAAGATTACAAAGACACACTTGTGACGAATAGACGTTTGTTCCGTACATCGATAGTTTGATCAACAAAAAACACAAACTTTACAATATTTGGGTTCGATTAAAAAAAGAATTATTTTTCTAAAATACACAAATTTTTTCCGTAGCATTTCTTAAACCCGGTTTTTAATTTTCTGGTTAACTTATTAGTTAGGTTTAACTTCATTTAATCTGACAATAATGTAAAAATTGTATTTTTCTGAAGTGATGGTTTTGTGATTGTAACTTTAAAAATTATACTATAAAATTGTCAGTTTAGTAATTAACCATAGTAAAAAATACTATTTTTACATTAACTTTTAAAGGCCACTACAATTACTACAATGAGAACAAAACACTGATTTATATCCTATTCAATTTGATTGCTTATAACTTTCGTAAAAATTAAAATAATAATAATAAAAATTCGATCAAGAAAGAATAAATGCTGAAAATCCTGCGCTAATATTTAAATTTAAAGAAATCTTGCAATCTTAAAATATTAAAGAAATTTATTTAAGAAATTTATTTAAAAAATTTATTAAAAAAAGAAAAAAACGAATGTTAATTATACATTCTTCACTAAGACTAAAAATCATACGCTTCGATTAGTCTTCTAACTTTCTTCAGAGATGAAACATCAAACTCACTAGAAACTAAATGCTTGTATTACGTACTTTTATGAAAATAAAGATATGCATTGTCCATGTTATAGTCTCTGAATCAAGTCAACAATTCCTCTTAAAAGAGATATTTCCCATACTAGTTGCAAGGCTGGATGGAAAGTATTGAGTGCCTTAAAAATGAAATGCATCGAAATCAATAAAATTAAAGAAAAATGAGAAAGATAATATAAATTGATTTACTAGAACAGAAATCGCAACAGACGTATAAACTGCTAATCTGTGTTATAAAATAATTGATAGAAAGTCAATAATTTAAAAAATTAAATGATGTTACAATCATTTAAAATCAGATAAACGGGATGTATATTCTGATGGTATTCGAACAATAAAATCGAACAATAAAAAAGAGTCAAATTCGTTATAACGGATTATGTTGTTCAAAGTCATATTTGTTGTCAAAGATAAAAACAAATTAAGGCTTGCTATAATTTGGTTTAGCAGTTCGGTATTTGTTTTTAAATTGCTGCTGTTATTTTGATATTATTCATCTCGGATATTAACTGTTTGTTATAATTCCGTTCCATATCTAAAATTTTTACTTATTTCCATAAAAAATCGTAACTATATTTCAACTTAGGATCTATAATAACGGAATGAATAATTGTATTTCTGCCAATATGAGATCTATATCCAGTAAAAATAAATATTGTAAATTTTTTTCACTAATCGAAATGCCAGGCAATTAAGAAATATAACGATACCAGTCAAATGTCTGTATCATATTATTAACCCTCAGTTATTTTTACTTTCATTACTATACGGGAGTATAGCACACTCCCCGTCAATATTCAAGTATCTCTAATTTTTGGTAAAATGCATTGATTAAAGTAAATATGTAAAATCTTCATTTTAGAAGATCTAAAGAAGAATTTTGTATAAGTAAAATTGCCGAAAATTGTCAATTATAAAAGATGTTTAATAATAAATAAATAAAAGTCAATTTTTCGAACTGTTATTATGAAAAAATCACGAAGAATACTTTTTTCAAAAAATTATTAATCATAAAATTATTAATTATTAATAATAAATAACAATAATTCTTCAAAAAATTAATTATTAATATAGAGATAGAAATAAAGAAATTAATGAAATGAACTTTAGTTTCTTTATTTACACATTTGCAATTGAAGGTGTATATTTTAATTAGACGAACATGTGTCAAAATATTTAACATGTGGGCAAATATATTTATTTTGACGAGTGAAATTTTTTTTAAAACACGATTTTTTTTATAGAAAAAGTAGGTTGTTATCGTTTTTTATTTTGTTTTTACGAACTGATGATACTAGGTATGAGAAAGTATACGTTGAACACTTAACTTTTTTTTCTCCTATATCTAGTATCTCATTTTCCGGTTTCTACAAATGCTGCGCAATTTTCAAACGTTCTGGATATATCATACTCCTGTACAGTAATTGAAGGTTAATAAAATTAATAAACTTGATAAAATTAAATAAAAGGTTAACAAACAATTAATAAACAACTGAAAAAGCATTTGAAAAAAAATTCGGATATACCCTATCGAAAAAATTTTTAAGGATTAAGTCTAATTACAAGTTAATCAGAAAATGAAAAATGCGGTCTTTTTTATCAATTTCGAATCGATGGTTAATTCAATCATTACGATTGACAATGTGAGAATTGGTCACAGTTTATCTCAGAAAGAAAGAGAGAGAGGTAAAGTTGTAATTCATTGAACTATTGGCATTTTTGCGAGATAATCCTGAATTAAGTTAACGAAAAATTGATGAGAGAGGTCCTTAATTTTAGTATAACGATTAGCTTACATATAAAGATCGAGACACGCGTAACGACTCAAGAATAATCAAGTCGAAGACTCAGATGTATATATATGACAATAATTAGATCAGTGAAGAAAATTAGGAGATATAAGAGCGTTGTGTTTATTCGCGGAATGCTATAAACGGTGTGAGAAGAAGGAGGCGCGCCTTCGAATGGATAATCAGTTTCGCATTTCCCGGTGTCGGTATGTGTTTGTCTGTGTATCGAGATCGCGAGTATTTGCGTGCCAAGCAGCCATGGAGCCGCGGAAATGTGACCGCATCCACGCGATAAGCATTCGCGCGCTGCAGAAATTCTCACGGTCAGTATGTCAGCGGTAACGTCGGCGTGGATGATCCCACTCAGAGTTGATTTTCTCGACGTTCGCGTAATTGTGTGTCTGGTTACTTGTCGACTGGCAGATTTATCGAGATTCGTTATTGTATTCCATTCGTCGAGTTATGCGAACCGCTACAATGGAGCACCATCTGATACGTAGGAATGTTGGATTAGTTAGTCATCGTGAGAAGGAAGCTCGAGATTGATATTACATAATGAAAATACATATGGAGGATAATAATTTGTAGTCAGGAGAAGAATATTTAAAAAACAAGATCTTAATAATAAAAAACCTGATCCTTAATCAATACTTTAATGTACAATTAAATGTAATTATTAGGGATGCACCAGATCGTAAAATTACCGGATACCGGATATCGAATATCCGGACAGAATGTAACATCGGATATCCGTTTGAATATCCGAGAAGGCGATTTTTTTGAATCGGATATCAAACATTTTCCGGATATCCGACCAGATTTGGAGAAAGTGTCTTCTAAAAAAAAAATCTATAGAGAAAAAGATTGTGTTTTGCATTAATGTATAACATATTACAATATCATAAATATGCATACTTATTTCTAAAATATTTGCATAAGAAAAAATCAACAATTTAATGATATTAAATAATGGTAATGATTTCAACCGGATATATTCCCAGATATATCCGGCTATCCGGTCGAATAGTAAAAAAGTGCCTGATAATATCGAATAAATAAAAATACTTTCCAGATATCCGGTATATTCCTAGTAATTATTGCTTGCGTCGAAACAAAGTTTCATGTTAAAAAAACAATCGTAGAGAAATGTGTAATTATCGAATAAAGCGAATTAAGAGGCTATTATAAATCTCGCTTTTTTCGAAACAAGTTTCGCGTTGATGTATTGTTCGCGTTGTGCTTGACAGGTAAAAAGAGTCAGAAAGAAAAATTGCACAGTTGCGAAAAGGATTGAGTAGGACGTATACGAATTTTTTCATGAAAGTATTGCGCTAAAAGGATGATCGAATTCCATTAGGCTTTATAAAATAAGCGTATTTCAGAGATAGTTCACAGGAGTGGCACTTACCAGTGCTGTACATATAATAAATATAATAAATTATAGATGCTACTTTTTTATTAATTAAAAAAAAATTGTTATTTTTATAATGATACATAGGTAAGATATAGATATAAAAACAACATACAGAAATAATTACAATTGCATTTCTGTGTAATTATTAATATAGTTCAAGTAATGTAATTATTTTCTGTACTATTCCTTTATGTATGGATTATATTACACATAGCAAATGTGTTCGCTATATCGATTACAATATCATAGCTACAGATATCAATCGGTCAGTCTTTAAAACAAATAAAAAATGACTTCTTTCCGTTTTCATACTGTTCAGATAATCTATTGTGCTATTTATCTGCAGTCACATAATCTTTACGTAACTCTATTCTACTAGTTGATGCAATCAGTAAAATATATTTTTCCTGCTTCCATGACACCAGAGAAAATTTATTCAAATTTATTCTTTGCGTAATATTAGTGTGATTAAACATAAACAAAATATTATATATATATATTTATGTATAATAAATAGAAAAAGAATGATTGCATTAATTGGAGTTCTGGTTGAAAATAGACAAATCATAATTTTCTGATTGAATCTATTGTAATTCTAGTTGAGATAATCAGAATTCTGATTGATATAATCAAAATCTTTTGATTCGTTTATTTTCAACTAGAATTTTTTCTTGTTTCTATAACTATAATTAATAAATTATAGTCATTACTTAGTAATAATAATTATATGTTTAATTTTATCAACAAATATATGTATGTATATAGCTGGCATGAAAATAATTATAAATTGTAGTTTGTTATAAAAATAGTTACTTGCATCACTGCAATTTATAGTTATTTTAGAGTGATTCTCTCTCTCTCTCTCTCTCTCTCTCTCTCTATATATATATATATATATATATTCGTAGATAAAATTATATATATATAGTTATCATTACTAACCCTAGAAAAAATTTTATTTTTTGAGCAGTTATATTAACTCTGTTTAAAAAGTAACTGATGAATAAAACTATTTAAGATCCCAATCAAGATGTAAACGCTTTGTTTGCATTTATTGCGCACAAAAGACGCGTAAAATCTGAACTCATTTATTAACAAAAACAATAGACTACACATTTCATTTAATAATAATCTATTAATTTTAGAGTTTTAAACAATAACTGAACAGGTGTCTACACAAATTGCACATATTTTTCACTCCAGAAAACTTGTTTCAGCTAAATAAAACTTTATCAAGTCCTTGTCTACTTCCTTGTCTACGCAATATTGTTATAACTAATGAAAATATACAGTAAATACAATAATACTAGATAATAAGATACTGGATAAATGTATAGAAAAATTGCATGTTTTTAACAGGATAACATTATAGTAATAATCATAATTATGGTAACATGTAATCATAATCATAAATATCAAAAACTTTTTTCTGTGTAAGTCATCTTCGCATGCAACAATGCAAAACGGATTCATACTAATGTCAGGATTTCAGCATCAGATTATATAAGCCTAGGCGATTCCATGTGCATGTGACTTATATTTTCCGTGAGATCCATGATGAGAGAAACGGTTGGCTCTCACAGCGAAGGGAACGATCTTTGATCTCGACTTGAATGGAACCGTTTATTTGTAATTCACGATTACATTTGCATTGTGTACGCGGAATAAGAACTTATTACTTAAGGCATGTGACATTCGCAGATGTTGACTCAAGTATTAACTTATTATCATTTGATTAAAATTTTGTATATAAAAGATAATAATTTGGAAGATTTGAAGTAATTCAATATGAAAAAAGTGTTGATATTTTTAGAAAGAATTAGCTGATAATTGAAGGATCTCAATAAGTCTTAATAAATTATTAAACTATAAGATAGCAATGAATAACATTAAAATTATTAAAGAGCAAAGTTGTTACCTACTGTAAATAATTATGATAATATTATTTGTAAATCAGGTTGAAATAATATTTGCTTACAAAGCATATTTATGCGTATAAGCGGTGAATTAACAAAATCAAAAACAAATTTCTAAGCAATTGTATTAAGTGATTTTATTATTAAAAGTAAGTCCTGATGTTTGTATTATAAAATATGCGTGACTCTACGTGCGCATTTGGAGACACAATAGTGTCTCGGTGTTAAGACAAATGTTTTACAGAAATGTCGGGATCTACTTTTGTAATTGTTCTTTTTCAAGGATTGATTTATTAGAATTAAAGCCTTGAAGTCATATTTGTTGATGATAAGTAGCAAGAGATATTAAAAGAATCAAATTGCAAATAAGATTTCACTCTTTCTAATGTCAATTAATTTTGACCTTAATTTAAGTGGACTCGATTAGTTCATTTCTGCTTCTCTATGAATAGAACTATGTATACTATGAACAAAGAGATAATGAGAATATCTAATGTGCAATTAGTTAACCTGTATTATCGGTGTAATTTCACTTCTTTCTAAGACCGAAAGAAAATAAATCAGCTGAATTATGATTAATCATTTTGAAGCTGTTAAGCTTAGATTTTTAAATATGTATCGTGTAGTACCTTTAAATTTGAGATACTAATTTCGAGTTACATACTCAAATTAGATATATAAAAATTTTTCGAGTTACATACTCGAAATATATGAGAATATTTTCCTAATAGTAAAATATGTTATACGAAGCAACGATGATATAGATATAATGATTTGATTGGTGATATCACTTTTATGAACTTAAATACTTATTTTTCTTTAGGAAATACAAGGTTATGTATTTCATGTATAATATTCAGTGTTACCGTAGTGTAATATATCGCTAACATTAATTATATTTCTTGAACAAATGACAATCGAAGATCTTTCTATCTTTTTTTCTTTTAGTTTTTATAGCATTTACGTTCCTTGTAATACATAATTTTATTTCAACGTATACTTTCAATTTATGGCGATACATGCTTAAAAGTGTAATTTTATTAACGATTCATTCTAACTACAATTTAACTTTTTAATTCTTTTATGATTCTAGTTTATGGCTTATGGATTCTAGTTATTGATAATAATATATGTTAGAAGAAAATATTCGTTTAATTATGATTGATATTAATGCTACGAGATTTCAGTGAGATATCACGAATCTTTAAAATCCTGGGGTTGCTGCGAAAACGGTCACGAACTGTCGTGATAATTTTCACTTGGTCTAATGTAATAAATAATCTTATCGTTCGTACACGCGATTCGACATTACGTTAGTTTTATCTTCATTGTATCCCCGTGACATTATCGCGAAAAACAGCGTTTCCTGGATGACGATCAGTCTCGCAATCATGGAAAAATGGTTGTGTACAGCTGTGTCACGGGTTTACGAGGTCAGCGGGTGGCCTTTCTAATCCCGGGATTTGCGCGCAAGGGTCACGATACCACCGAGGAGACCTGTCCAGGTCGATCGTGTATACCTTCTCCGGGCATATATCCAACGACGAAATCACTGACGCATTTGTTGTCGCGTGCGGGTGTCGTCGGCGGGCGTCGTTTCTCCCCCGGGTCGGTGCAACGCGTCGGTGCGAGGGATGTCAGACGTGGTCGCACCGCAGGAGGCCAGGAGCGCGCGGACGCAGTGTGTGGTGCCACGTGATGCGTACCGCGTGTCACCAGGAAAAGTACGATGCCGTACGATCACGGCGGCATCGTGCAGATCACTGAGACCGACCGACCGGCCCGTTTCATGAGCGCCTCGACGCTACCGCCCGACCCGTCCCACCAGGGCCGGTTTCGTAGGGTACTCTAGTAGGCGCGATGCTTTTGATTTTTGTACTATCGAAACTTGGAGTATGTGAAACACTCTGATTTTGATACTCGCTGTCTTTTTACAAAATTTGAAGAAATTAATCTAAATATTTTCCTAACTCAAAATTGAGGAATCAAATTTAAAGAAAAGTTGATTTTTTTTTTAAGGTAATGTTATCAAATTCTTGACGTATATCGTAGAAGCGAATATGTACTTACGTATATACAAAAACAACAGAATATTTATTCGTTATAAATTAATTAGTATATACGCGTATACACTTTTTCCGCGTCATTTTATGTACGAATGAAAATAGTTCAAATTCTATATTAATAATAAAATATATATAGTAAGATAAATATATACAGTAAGATTAAATAAGATAAGAATGCATCTGAGTGCTATATGAATATGAGAATAATAAATATATAATCTTGTATCAGGGTGTAAATACTCAAAGCCAGACCTGTGGTTTGCCTCCTTCTGTTCATTGGTTGATTTTTTCGCGGGTCGATTTATCGCTGGACGTTTCTCGCGCAAACGCGCCGCGACTTGCGAGGTACCATGAGCACCTTCTCGGAGATCGATCACATACAATTATTGAGACTTAATCATAACTGGTGATTCGCGTCGATCACGCTATGATGACAATCGCTATTTTCAAGATATTGTAATTACTTGCATTGTGAAAAACTGACCATTGATCTGAAATATTGCATCTCAATTATACGAATGCAATTAATATTTTTTTCTTCTTGGATGTGAGTTTAATGAATGTTTAAAATAATTTTATAATTTTATTAGAAATAATATGAATTACATTTTTGCATTATTAATAATTGTACATTATATTTAATTTTATTTCCGACATTTGTTTTTATTATTTGCATTTCAATTCGTATTGAAATATAGAAAAGAAGAATAAAATGCAAAAAATAAAAAAAAATAAATATTAAAGCTATAAATGAAAGAATTGTTGATGTAATCTTTTTATTCGTTGGTTAGAACAATCTGCTTTTATTTTTTTGACCTGATTTCGTACGACTGTCTTCGCCTCATCATCGCTGTTGAATTGTTGTGGCGCTTGAAATTCCTTCACCCACTTCCGTTGGCTTTTCACTTGAAGAAATTTTTAGCGACTCCTTCAGTGGTGATGAGGTGAAAATAGCTATACCAGATTGCGTCGAGACGTCGGCAGTAGACTTCTTCGACCAAACTTCTGTTGCGATACAATATCTCAATTTAGAAAGCACTGAAAAGTAGATTAGAGTATAAGATTGCAACGAAAAATAATGAAATCGGAGAAACTTCTTTCTCGCCTGTATGTTTATCAACTTATTAATGTTTATTTTTTAGACATATTAATTTGAAGAAATATCTAATTAATTGATTCTTAATTTCGCGCTTTGAGTTGCTTTAAATATGTTGTTAAAACGAAAGGAAAACATATAGTGCATAAGAGAAAAGGGAATGTATAAAACGTCGCAATTTGAATTTTATGAAAAGAAAAAAAAGTAAATAATTTTGCAAATTATATTATATTAGCATTCTCTTTAGTTGCAATTTGCATAATAAAATTATTTCATCACTGTTGATATCGCGTTATTATACTTTTGCAGGAACATCGCGATTAGTATCTTTGTTCGCGGGTCGATTTGCATGGATAATGTCGATGTAAGCGTTGCATTCAAGGTCGATTCGCGTGTGCATATCCGCCAACTGTGTTATCTGTGCGTGACCTGATTTCTTTTGGAAAAAAAACATTTATAATTGTTTTATTCGTAATTATTTTTTATATGATAATAGTATCTAAAATATATCAAAGTAATACGGAAATTACCAAGATAATTGAAAAATATTAAGATTTTAATATTATATCTTATAGGACCGAATATGTGTCAAGATTTTAAATCTTTATATATTCTGTAGGAAGCGCAAATCGAGTAAACAAAGAAGTAAGATTAAGTCTGAATTGTCTGAATGGCGGAAGTTGAGACGATTTATTTTCTTTCTGTAAGTCCAATGGTAGTTTGTCTTCGATTATTCTCGTATTGATATCTCAATCTGTTCGAACAATGAATCTGTTGAATACGACGTATTACTTTTACCATTCTTTTTCAATGATTGATATTCAAACCAAGAATTGATATTCAAACATGATTAATTAAAATGCAAGCTGTTTGTCGCTTCGATTAGCTCACATCGATCTGCATTCATGCTATATTCAATATGCATACATCACATATGTTACGTAACATCAGGGATTTTCACGCATTAATGAATGCATAAGTATCCATTACACATACACAAGTCATGTATCAACGTCATGCATCATTATTAAATGAGGCAAATATCTATCATGTGGCACAACAATGAATTTTAATTAAGAGATTTTGCTGATTTAGTTTCATTTTATTCTTAAATGCTTACATGGAATAAATGATTTTGTTGAAATATTAAAAAATTTAGTTGTATATACAAATCTGAAATTAATTTTATTGAACCATCAAAATAATTATGTGGGAATTGTAAACATGATGAATACGCTGCAATAAATTTTAACATTTTAGTAACTAAGTTTTTAGCATCCTACATAATTATTTTATCCAAAATTATTTTCAGATCTGTAATCTGTGTCTAGCTAAATTTTTAAATATCTCAACAAAATTATTATTATCTTTTTTATGTAGTTCAGCGAACATCTAATTCATGACACACCTGCTTTATCTAACGTCAATATTTGCATATTTCTCGTAGAAAGCTCGAGACATCTCCTTCCCTGGAATTTCACCCAACAGATTATGACATCACATCACGCGATGCAACCATTATTTATTATCATAATTTAATTACATATAGAATAAACATTTTTGAGAATTAAAATCGAATGTTCTAAAATAAATTTTTTTATTATTGTTTATATTTTATGCATTTTATATTCTATAATGTGATGATAATTTAAAAGTTTATGTAGACACTTATCAACATTAAATTTTCTACAAATTATACTTTATAATATTAATACTTTATAATTTTTATTTAGATTATTATATTTTAGATCGTCATTAAAAACTAAATTCTGTAAAAATAATAAATATTTTTACAATAAGAGCTTATTGTTTAATAAATATTTGTTAAATTATAATTTATTCATTGTAAACTTTATATTATTTAGAAGCAGCAACAAGATATTTTATTAATATGCATATGATTAATTGAAAACTATATATTGATAAAGAGGAACTCTTAGATGTGATCGTTAGCGTAGAAATATGGTTATGTAAATTTTCTTTGTAGCACGTTGCTTAACCCCAGATATTATCCATACGTGTTATCCACACCGGACGAAGAGATTTTCGGCGAGTCGATGTTCTGGAAATTAAAAGAAGGACATTTTTTCCATTCGGAAAAAATCAACTGGATCCATCCCGGAGCCGTTGTGGCGACAATGGTGCTCGATCTACCAACGTTCGATCAGGAGCCTGTCATCAAGTGCTGGGGTATAATCTCATACGAGATCGATGAGACACAATTCCAAATCCCTCTGCCAACCACTGAGCTCTCCATCGACGAAACGATCAATAGTTCATGTATAAGATTTTTAAATGAAAACGGACGCAGTGCGATATTAGCCTTGAAAAGCACATCTACCATAGAGAAAATCTTTAATATTCAGACAGACAATCAAGATGATCGAAACGGGTTCGGCAATAAATTCTTTCGTTTCTTGATCGCAAGAACCTTTACAAAAGTTTGGGACAATGTTTTCTTGGTGAAAGAACATGGTTGTCTGATGTATTGTTTGGTCGAGATACAATCGATTGATGTCAACAAAGCGAATATCAGGATCTTTGCCAGGTAATGGATCGTTGACGAGCGGATCTGCGCTCTCTTCAACCGATTTGCGATAAAATGTGTTGCGATGATGGAAGATAGATTTACATTATCAATGATACGATTGCAGATCTGTCAATCAGCTGAATATAATATTGCATCTTCTACAAGATGAATTTCCGGATGTATCTGTTGCGGAGGAGACAGATGATTGCGTTGAGGCTGCGAAGGCTTTGATACACGAGTTGGAGATAATTCGCGATCAAAAAAATATCCTCGAGATACAAGAAGCGAAAGTGATAACAGACTTGCTTATTCCTTAAGTTCTATTTAGCATTGTATATAAAAGATATTCTTAGATAATGTACAATGTAATATAATTATATTGATGTAATATATAAAAAATATATCAAAAGTGTTAAACTTTGTTGATGGTAATTGATGCAGCAATATGTTATACACAAAATTCACTGACTAACTGACAAGATAAAAAAAAACAATATAAAGTTTTTGTTACTTTATCTAATTTTTTTCATGTACTTTTATAATATTGATATGATATAATTATTGAATTAAAATTGATATCAAGGCAATTGTTATTGTTTTACTTTCTTAAAAAATTTATATAAATCTATAATTTTTTAATTTTTTTTTATGAAATATATATTATCATATATTGCATATTGCATGCATCTTAAATAATAATAATAATAATAATAGCTTTATTGAAATAAAAGAATTTATATGTAGACACGAACAGAAAACATTCACACTGGAAATGGGAGGCATTAGACTATATAAATTTTTGAAATAATTTATTTTGTTAAACTATATAAAGCACATATTCGTAACATATATACTGTAGTGAGAGTGGATAGTGAGTGATCGGAGTGACAGAGTGAGTGAGCGAGTCAGTGAGTGAGTCAATATGGGTCAGTAGACTTCGCTGAGCACTTTTCGATAAAAAATATCATCACTACGACCAGTGTGCATTTAACGTCATCAACGATTACATACGATATAATTCTCTCTTCGATACATATGTATACAGTCATTTCATTACAGGTACCTATTACTTTGTTGTATATGCCCGCTATGTCTCGGCCGCGTCCTATATATAGGACTCGACTGATTACGTGTCGCAATAGTATATATAACTCCTACGTATTTAAGGTACCTACATTATAAAATCGATAAACTCCTTCGCTGTTGATTGATTAAGACTGAAGAGAGCAGCGGCAAGACGTGAAAATTCTGTTAAAATATTGGCTATCGCGCTTTGCATTTCGTAGGTTGAGCTCGTAATGAAATACTGTGGAGTGTGCGCCCATCGGTAGGAATTCAAATTTTCTTCCTTTTTTAAAATTATTTTTGAGATGCGATACGATATTTTAGCGGAGCAGTTGACGGCAATTTCATCGCTCTGATGCAATGTCTGCGACATTGATATACAGGATGTTTCAAAATTGACGAATCAAAATACCATATCAAGAGAGTTTTAAAAAAAAAATTAAAAACTTATTTGCCATTTTTCATTCCGAGCAGCAATTTTTGAGCAATTCCAAGTTTTCGAGATGTAAATAACTACGGCTTTATTATTTCGTGTCTTATGTTATTTATATATATTAACTAGTTTAAGGATTAGCACTATAAGGCGAATATCACGGCGCACATCATTTTTTGTTAATAAAAAAAATTTTTCGATTATGGTATCGATTTTGATTCGCAAATTTCGAGACACCTTGTATACTTGCATTAATTAATCGAGATTGCTTTAAAGCCTATCGATTAGTAGCTGGTCGCTTACTTTTTGTTTGTGCATACGATCATTCAATTCTTTCTTTAAGTGACTGTAATAAAGTTTTTTTTATTATATTACTTCTTTTTTTAATCCATCATCAACAGGACCGGCTCGTTCGCACGTGGAGAAAAGTCTCGCCCGAGACTTGACGAGAGGTTGGCATTATTACTCTACATCATCAATCAATGATCATTCGTCACGACACTTGTTAACAGCGAGTTAATTAATCTTATTTGTGTGCCTGGCATTGAAAGCTTTCTCCTTTGCGAACTCCGTCGGCGTCTACGTTTATTGTAATGCACGATCATTCGGTCTCTCTCTTATATTTTTCATTATCACACACATCATCACTCTCTCTCTCTCTCTCTCTCTCTCTCTCTCTCTCTCTCTCGCTCGCTCGCTCGCTCGCTCGCTCTCGCTTTCTTTCTCTCTTTCATGTATTGTCCGCTTGGCTTATTTACATATTACATTGGGCTTCAACTGTACACGCGGATATATACCCATATATATATTCAATGTACATAGGTACTCAATTCCCATTCGTTCTCGTTTCTCGTGAGCATAATTTACAATAAACTAGTTTTGACATTTTCATTCTTGTCATCGTCATCGCCGTTGTCGTCGTCGTTACCGTCACAGTAGTTGTCTTCGTTTGAATATCGCTCACTAATACACGCAATATTCGACACTCTCATTTCCGAAGCTTTAAATCGTACGCTTAGCAATCTCGGTTTTATAAAGGTCGCGATCGATCACTGAATTCTTATCTGGAGTGACTTCGACTCGTTTTTGATAGGACTATAAGACTGCTTGAGCTTCGTAATCTAAAGACCATGGATTCAATTGGATAAGATATAATTTTTACCTAACTTGATTTATTATTTATTATCACATAAATAATAACTGATTTATGAAATAAATTTTATATAGAGTAGAAATTCCAGATGAATAAAATTAAATAAATTCATAAAAGACATTTCAACATAATACATTTTACATAGAACTATCTCAAAGATAGCAAAGATCTTAAAAGGCTAATATTTTCTGTATGATTCTAATCTTTTATATGATATTACATTTTATTATTTTTAACTCGATTTTGATAAAATTTATCAAGTTTTTAACATGTGAATGTATGGTCCTCAGCAAACGATGCTGTTCGAAAAAAGACAAACTTGAATTAATGAAACATTTCTCAACGCGCAGAAAAGCAATCGTAATTTAAGGTACTATCAGTTCGCCAAGAAAATTCTGCTATTTCGAGAGCAATGCAATTAAATTCAGATTTAAATAATTCTTGTAAAAGAATTCTTGGTATAACATAACGTAAATATAATGTCTTCATAAATATAATGTCTAATGGAAGTCGATATCTGCCTCTTCTTTTACTTAAGCAAGAAAATCTTAAAATTGATGTATATGCTTTGAAATGTAACAGCAGTAATTATATACACACTGTAATTATATGCACAATTTTAATGGTATGTAGTAAACTTAAAGTAAAAAAGAACCTGGAACCGACATCATATTTTTCATGATGTTCCGCAATGCAATATCGGCATCTTTGTGATTATAATCGCTGTTATAACAAGTATCGTATTATACATATATATTGATTGCGAGCTTTGACGTCTCCTTTTCTACGACGAATTTAATAATAAATATGAAGAAATGAAATATGCGCGGAAATATTCTGAATTAATTGTTTCACATGAAATACTGCATATTTGTCACCAAATTTTTAATGAAAATACTTAGATGCATCTTCTTTGTATTTTAAAACTTTTTTATAATTCAAACTCGAGACACATGATTATACATACAATTTGTATTTTAATGAATAAGAAAACAGATGTGTGAAAATATAATGCAATTTAAGCAATTAAAATATTTGTAATTATTTGTTTTATAGTTTCATATGCATGTTAAATCCAAGTATATACATCTAGATTTTAGAGCATTTATTAATATTCAAATTTCAAATGTATTTTTTTAGTTGCGTTATTGAATAAAATTAGAAGAAGTAATTGATGACAATTTTACATTAAATCTTCATATATTAATCATGTATTATTATTAGTCATTTATCTCGCGCGCTTCTGTTCTGCTACGGAAAATAAAGATCCTTCTATATTTTCACTATTTCTTGTAGAAAAAACTACGCACAAAATTGTAATACAGTATAATACAGTCACATTTACATGAGTCATAGGATGGAGGAGAAATCAGTTTTTTGAACAGGCAATACTATAATTGCACCAAAGTATTTATTCTTAGAATAAATAGCAGCGAAGGCACTAAATTATATTAATATCTGTTCATTAATGATTATTACGAAAGTAAAGTTAACATTTTTTATCAGCATACAAGTGCCGTCTAGAAATAAGAACAATTCCAGAAACTCTATTCTTTAAATTTTTATAAATACGAACATCATATTTTGCGGTACGCAAGGAAACTGTTAGGTAGATCCTTTTAATTACATTTCATTTGATGCATTCCTTTCGCATTTACTTCCTATTATGCAGTAACATAAACTCTGCAAAATATTTATCGCAATGCTGATTTGGCGGACTAATGCTGCATAACGAATATATTTCACGCTGATTGAAATCCTAATTATGACACTCGCCAGTAACTCATCGCAACCGAGAAAAATTAGAGTAAATGTATTTGTAGACATTTAGTCGCGTAATGCGTGTGGAAATCTATTGACGAAATATACAAACGTTTGCCTTATTTTCGCCGACTTCAGCATAGAGTCGTTACTTTTTCCCTACTACGTGATTAACCTTAATACTTGTTTCACTTTGAAATTGTTCTCTCCGCTACTTATATGATTATCGCGATTGACTTCACTGGTAGAACGCGTGTCGCTTTGTAATATTTTTATTTGCAATTCATTCTATATATATGTACACGTCTGTCCGCGCATCCGTATACATCGGTAACATATTCGTTTTATGCGATATTTGATAGCGGCAATCGGAAAATGATCTCCAGCGAGAAATATTTCGATATACTCTACTAGTTAGATAAGAAATACAGTCATCGCAGTCGTGTGTTTTACATATTTGTTATTTATAGTAGTTTTATAAAGCTTTGTTATAAGCACATGTGGACATATTACAGTGTATACGTACACGCGGGCATATTTAACATAGATTACATTATCAGTGATTAAATAATAGCATAGAAAATAATTGTTTTCCTCGCCACGAAGCTAGAATTTTTCAACTATTTTGCCATTGACCTTTGATACTTGATATTTTTTACTCTCATTTTCTTATATCATAGTTTAGTTTTTCAACTAGTTAGTCGCTAGTGTGATACTGTATGAAATCTCGGAGTATGCATGTACGTGTGTATATGTATTTGGTTGTGTATGCTGCACGTGTTTATACATTCGCGCTTGTCATGCTTTGTCGCTATTCGAACGATTATGTATGCGGATGCATGTATAATTTCGTCGGCAGGCAGGACACAATATGTGACGATATGCACTAAAAAAAAGACGTTCTT